ACCAGAATCGTCTTCTAGAGTCACTTCCAACTGTTCCACCATCAGATGTGAACTCATACTGGGACGAGATTGCCGCCTCTCTGCATAGTGCTGGAAATTTGGCCTGTGGCACGGTTCAACCAGGCGCGCGCAAACATTGGATATCAAACTGAACAGTGGCACTGCTTAAACCTCGCAGAAATACCCCAGCCAGTCCCGAGAATAACTCCATGCGAAGGATTATCAGAAGAAAGTGGGCGTGCGAGCCGACCGTGAATATGACGAACACAGAAAGCCAAAAAAATGGAAGAGGCCCATAAAGCCGGTAATGCCCGGAGATTATTTCAGTTGATTCGTGCGACCGGTCCCTGGAAACCACCTGTGAGCGAAGCCATCAAGCACTGGAAGGGAGTGACCATCTCGACCGTTGGGCCGAACACTTCGAACAACAACTGTTGTGGACATCAGCTGGCAATCATCTAGAGTCCACAGGTGAAGTAGAACCCTGGACGGTGAACGTGGAATCACCTACGGCCCCAGAGGTTTACGACTACATATGTTCTCTCAAGCACCACCGCATTGTTCAAACACGGGGGTAAAGCCCTCAGTCAACGCTTTTCTGATCTATTTGCTTACATTTGGGTAAAGGAGTCTGTCCCAGACAACTGGGGAGAGTCGGTGATAGTGTCCATTTTTAAAAAACTGGCTCGTAGTTAGTGCGACAACCACAGGTGGGATAGCTCAACCCCGGTTGTAACGAAACTGCTAGCGTTAACTGTGCTTCGTCGCATTGTGGTGGCTCGCAAAACACTGCTCGAGAAAAGCAAGAGGGATTCCAGCCTATAGGGGTTGGTGTTGACCAAATCTTCATACTTCTTCAGGTGCCAGAACAACACCATACGTATAAACGACCCGAAATTCTAGTATTCCTGGATTTCCAAGGTGCATTTGACTCGGTTGACACGCTTGCCCACCAAGGAATGCCCCGGAATTTCGTGAACACAATAAGCTCTTTGCGTTCCCCGACTTCCGGACGTGTGAGAGTATACGGTGAGCCCTCCAAAAGCTTCCGCACACAAAGTGGTGTCCGTCAGGGATACCCACTCTCCCGTTCCTGTTCAACTTAGTGACCAATGAAATCATGAGACGAACACTGGAAGGTCTCGAAAACCCCGGTGTTCTAATAGCCTGTGACGAAAGTCTTGTCGATCTGAAATGTACGGATGACATCGTACTCATCTTCGAAGAGGAGAAAAAAGCGCTAGTGTTTTTAATTGACCAAACCAAAGTCATCCCATCCTTTGGTATGCACTTTGCATTCACAAAGTGTAAAGTCATGCCCTTGCACATGAAGTCGGTGAACATGCTGCTTACAATCCAGGGAGGGGCACTCAAAGTTGTGGAGCGATCACACCTTGGAAGTTGTATTGGTTCTAATTAAAGTGTGACAGATGAGGTGGATGCACGAATCTGCAAAGCTCGGGTCGAGTTTGCTACTTTGAGCACCCCTGGCGTCAAATCGGTGAATCCCTGAATCCCAAGAGACATGTGTATCAAGCTATAGTGCGGGCTGTTTTGTTGTATGGCTGTGAGACTTGGCCTATTCAAGCAGCGGAACTAAGACGCCTTCAGGTGTCCGGCAATCGTTATCTCAGGACCATAGCTCCTGTGGGTTGGTGTCGACGGATCCGTAACGTGGCAGTTAGAAAGCGTGTTTTCGTTTGTGAAACGGGTACTTCCATTGAAAAATGTGTCTAGTACCAGAAGCTGTGTCGGTTGGGCCATGTGTTGCGTATGCCGAACCATCGTTTGCCACAGGGAGTGCTGTTTTCCATGCCCAATTCAGACTGGCGTAAACAGAGAGGTGGCCAACCCTTGACTTGGCAGAGGGGTATGAAAGAAATCACGAAGCGTTTGGGTGCTGTTGGTGCTACTCCAGGATGGGGACTGTCTGGTTCTCACTGCGCCTGGTTGGAGACGCTGTAAGATACGGTTGTCAACCGATGCCAGTGGCGATCTTGTCAGTGTCCATCCAGATTGCCAGATTGACTGTTTGGAGGTGTCGATGATGATGATGATGATGATGATGATGATGGTGATGATGATGATGACTGCACTGCATTGTACGATTAGTATGGAGGGAGTGTGGGAGAAAGCCGGTGAGTGAAGAGTTGCAAGGGCAAATGATACTTCCCGTTTGCCCAAGCCGAAAGGGGTTTAGTTGATGTACCGCACCTTGAGCCTCTGACTCAAGAGTATCAACCGCGATACACCAATTGGGATTTTTGAAAAACCCTTCCCGGAGCCAATGACTCAACAGCCTGACTTACTTGGCTGTAGGGGGCCAGCCCGGGCAGAGGACGCAGGTATTAGGGCATTAGTGCCTCACTCCTGATGCATCTGCGCATACCAGGTGCTTTTTGAGCAGCACCGTACTCCTTGGTTCTAAAAGTACTCCGACCGTATTGAATAATCGCCGGGCGATCACGGTCAACCGCCGGGCTATTTTTCAAACATTCCTCAATCCCGGCTTTGTAGCGTAATTACGGCAATGCCTCAGCTCACGCCCTGCGTTTAACTTTCCAACCCAGAGTTCTCATCGAAAGAACCACCAAAGGTGCATCACGCGTCGTGTGTACAGTGAACAAGTTAACGACATTCAGGAAACTCCGTCGCCTTCATGGCGCAGCATTGGCAACGGCATTTGGCGGATCGTGGCGGGCTATTAGGTCCACACTTTCGGCCAATCAGAACTCTACGTGATCCTGGGCTGGAAAATGGACCGATCATCTGGCCAGCCGCACCCGGAACGGGCGTATTGGCCGTAGAAGCTTCAAAGTGGTTTGGTGCGGGATTCCGTGTAGCATACAATTAACCACCAAGGATACTTGCATGAATGCCTACTCG